ATTGCTATAAAAGGACATAGACTAAAAAGAGGATCACATGGCTATGCTGGTAAACAAATAGCATTGTAGGGCATTATTCACTAAACTGCAAATTGCTGAGAATGAAGTGTTGTTTTCCTGCTGTGCCCTTATTCAGAGACATTAAATACACTTCACACATGGCGACACATCTTGCGGTCAGACAGGGTTAAACACCCAGTGATGGGCTCCAGGCTCTGACTGCGCATGTTGGATAGCAAGCTCCGTGGCCAAGGATTCCTTATGCTGGCAGCCACGTACACCGTAATGCATTTTAGACTGTGATAATTCTGTCAGACGTGTAAGCAAACATTGGCTGCCGTATGGAAGCACTGTTCATCTGTTCATCTGGCAGATGCTTCGGGGAGTCTGGGACCCAGCAATGAGAAATGAACATACGCCCCGCAAAGCACGGCTGTCTCCTGTCCTCGTATATCATTAAACAGGCGAGATACCATCAGACATGCCAAGTGTTGGCCATTCGTCATCTCATGGGAATAAAACCCATTTAAGAGCTTTCTAGATAACCTCTGATTTCTCCTTCGACATGTTGGGCGAGGACCTCCATTAACCTCGCTGTCTCCAGCCCCATGGAATGCTGGGAGCTGCTCTTCAATTCCCAGTTTGTAATTGGCTGCTGCCATCGCATGATCTCTGTAGCCTTGCGTTATTACTTGGAACGGTCACTGAGAGTTTGGGAATTGTGATGTAATTCCAAGATGGCCGCCTCCACGCTGAAAAAAACGGCCTATAATAATTCATAGCAATAATACAATCATATTATAATCTGACTCTCGACAACTCCCATTTCAGTGATTAATCCTGCAAATAATGAACGCCTCCAGCTACAGCAAACAATGCTTTTTAAACTATAGGCAGTAGTGGTGCCCAGCTTTGCCTTCCGTTTGTTGGTGGTAGGCGCACAGCTTTCATTTCACATCGTTTAGTGTTCATTAAGGTGAATCGCTTTTGTATAGGCCCACGCTGCCTAGCATAAAACAATGAATATCCGAGTAAGTTGAGCTTAATATAGGGGTTTTGGTGCAATGAGACTGCCTCAGTGTAAACATTGACATTTAAGAGAAAAGGTAGCGTTTTCCCTACGTACATCACTAGTGGTTGTCAATTATTGTAGGACAGACAAGAAACTTCAGAGGATTTGGAGAGACTCAACAACGCAATGTCCAAATGATACGGTCAGTATAGTGTGCGTTGAAAACATCGAGCAGCCAACATTGTAACGGAACCGCTGGCACCCCGACCGGGTACCTTCCGCCGACGGATGCTCCTAGTGCTTTCCGAGGACTCCAAGCACTCTGCCTGACACCATAACCACTGCAGACCCCACGAACCGCCACAGCTTGGTTGGAGTCTCGCCGTCTCCACCCACTCTGGACCCAGGACCAGGGTCCAGCTTCCAGCAGGTCGACCTCTCTCCGCACACCCCCTGGACCTGGTGGTAAACTGTGACAAAAGGGACACAAACCAATGGGAACACTAATTAACATGATAACACTCTCACATACACAATGAAATCCCTCCTCTCCATCCTGGAGATAATTGGCTTAAGGCACTGCAGTAAACTCAATTATTTCCAGGTACAGAAAATATCTACATTTAACACTAACAGCAAAATACGTTAAAGTACATAAAAATACATAATTCTATTTTATTACACAGAACCCCCACATTTAACCTATCCCCAGATAGCTCGGATCTGAGCGCCCAATCTAGGTGAACAATAGACAGGAAACGGGGAGGGGAAGAAACACACCTTCCCATGGATTCCAATGGGAAGAAACTGTCTTTAGAAGCCAATAAGCCCCAAATAGTCTTTTTTAAATGGCAATACACCCCAGGGCCATAGTCATGAGGAAGGAGGCTGGCAATCAGGCTCCTCCAAAAGCCAGGGGGCAAAGGGCAGCTTGTCACCTAACAATCCAGGGACAAAAGGCATTTCGTCACACATCTCCCCTTTGGGGGGGAGACTAACCAGGTACCTGACCTGTCGGTCAGTGCCTGAGTTAGTCGATAAACCCACCCACAATGAACAAGTACATGAGTAGCCCACCCACAACACACATTTACTGCACCTAGGGATTCCTCTGAGGTCACTGGGTAACACGCTTTGGGTGCTTGGGGGGCAGAGGCCAACTGCGCTCTGCCCCAATGCCAGCGCTTCGGCTGGGGCAGCTGGGTTAGGCCTTGGCTGGGGAGGGTAAATAGTACTTACCCCCTCCTCCTGGTGTCCCTGCAAGGGTAGTTGGGGATCTGGACAGGCTGTCCAACATCCCTGTAAGTCGGGTGCAGAGACCACGGTCTCCTCTGCACCTTCTGGGAGACTAGTGTCTCCTCTTTGTGGGGTAAGTTGCCACTGGGAAGGAAGGACGGCACCTTCGGCTCCCTGGGATACACACTGCCGCTGGGGAGGAAGGACAGCACCTTCTGCTCCCTGGGGTACACACTGCCGCTGGGGAGGAAGGACGGCACCTTCAGCTCCCTGGGATACACACTGCCGCTGGGGAGGAAGGATGGCACCTTCAGCTCCCTGGGATACATACTGCCGCTGGGGAGGAAGGACGGCACCTCAGCTCCCTGGGATACATACTGCCGCTGGGGAGGAAGGACAACACCTTCTGCTCCCTGGGGTACACACTGCCGCTGGGGAGGAAGGACGGTACCTTCAGCTCCCTGGGATACATACTGCCGCTGGGGAGGAAGGACGACACCTTCAGCTCCCTGGGTTACACACTGCCGCTGGGGAGGAAGGACGGTACCTTCAGCACCCTGGGATACATATTGCTGACGGGGAGGAAGGACGACACCTTCAGTTTCCTGGGGTACACACTGCCGCTGGGGAGAGAGACCGGTTGGCTCTTCTCCCTTGTCAACACACTGCCGCTGGGGAGTCAGACCGACTGTCTCGACTCCCAGTGATGATGGTTGCTGCAGGGACGAGGGACCGACAATCTCCTCTCCCTGGGATGCTGTCTGCCGCTGGGGAGAGAGACCGGTTGTCTCTTCTCCCTTGACAACACACTGCCGCTGGGGAGTCAGACCGACTGTCTCGACTCCCAGTGATGATGGTTTTTGCAGGGACGAGGGACCGACAATCTCCTCGCCCTGGGATGCTGTCTGCCGCTGGGGAGAGTGATCAATTGGCCACAGCCCCAATCTCCGCAATCGGAGCTCAAATTCCCATGCCGCTCGATTCTCCTCATCCAACTTGCGCATGGTTGCCAGAATCGCCTCTGTCGAAAGATTTGGGCCATATCTGGTTAACCGCCTCTTGACCTCCTCCCTGTAAGCGTTGCCCTCAAAGTGATAGGTCATGTTTGCTGTGAACAGGGGTGCTGTACGAATACTAGCGTTGCCCTCAAATTGTAATTCCAAATGTTACCGGTGCCTCTGCGCTGCTACTCCTCGCACTAGGACGCGATCCCGCCGCTGCCACCAATGTAACGGAACCGCTGGCACCCCGACCGGGTACCTTCCGCCAACGGATGCTCCTAGTGCTTTCCGAGGACTCCAAGCACTCTGCCTGACACCATAACCACTGCAGACCCCACGAACCGCCGCAGCTTGGTTGGGATCTCGCCATCTCCACCCACTCTGGACCCAGGACCAGGGTCCAGCTTCCAGCAGGTCGACCTCTCTCCGAATTCCAGAGAGCAGGAACAGGAACAAGCTCTTAGCAGAGCTTAGTGATTATACCCTGGGGAGTATAGTGATTATAGCAATCCCCAGAGTGTAGTTTCTCCAATCCCCCAAACATGAGCCGAAACTTCATGAAGGTACAAGATGATCTGACTCCAATGAGCGTTTATTACTCCTTATATACAAGTTTTCAGGTCAGAGGCACACCCCCTGGACCTGGTGGTAAACTGTGACAAAAGGGACACAAACCAATGGGAACACTAATTAACATAATAACACTCTCACATACACAATGAAATCCCTCCTCTCCATCCTAGAGATAATTGGCTTAAGGCACTGCAGTAAACTCAATTATCTCCAGGTACAGAAAATATCTACATTTAACACTAACAGCAAAAATACGTAAAAGTACATAAAAATACATAATTCTTATTTTATTACACAGAACCCCCACATTTAACCTATCCCCAGATAGCTCGGATCTGAGCGCCCAATCTAGGTGAACAATAGACAGGAAACGGGGGAGGGGAAGAAACACACCTTCCCATGGATTCCAATGGGAAGAAACTGTCTTTAGAAGCCAATAAGCCCCAAATAGTCTTTTTTAAATGGCAATACACCCCAGGGCCATAGTCATGAGGAAGGAGGCTGGCAATCAGGCTCCTCCAAAAGCCGGGGGCAAAGGGCAGCTTGTCACCTAACAATCCAGGGACAAAAGGCATTTCGTCACAAACATGTATAGATTATTGCTAAGCGTTATTACGGTGGGACTGACGGCTTTACAGTTAGGGGGTTTGGACGTATGTGTAAGGAGGGTTTAGCTTTGGAAATACTGGCTTTGCCAAAGAAGAGCTCCTGTCACTAACCTTTGCTGTTTTTAATTTAGTTATATTGCCAGTGTACTCTTTTCATTTTTTTTTTCTGTGTGCAGTATGCTTACAGAGCATTGTACATGTCATGAGTCATAAAATGGGTAGAATTTGGGGTTTTGGTTAAGAAGTCTTCCACGTGTCTGGTGCCCGGTACACCAAAATCCTGCAGTTTGGCTGAATGGAAAATGGTAAAATGTCAGCAGGTCCCAAGGTCACCATGATCTCAGGAAAGGCAATAATTACGCCAGAAATTATTGCTCCAGTTGGGAAACGTGTCGCCATGGCTGCTCTGCAGTCTTTTCAGTTTGTAAAAATCCTGATCTGAGGTTTTATCAGAATCACAGCTGGGTAGTGATGTCCCGAACGGTTCGCGAACGGTTCGCCACAAACGGTTCGCCACAAACGGTTCGCCACGGACTCATCATTGAGTAAACTGACCCTGTACCTCACAGTCAGCAGACACATTCCAGCCAATCAGCAGCAGACCCTCCCTCCCAGACCCTCCCACCTCCTGGACAGCATCCATTGTGAAGCTGCATTCTTAGTGAGCTGTCCAGGAGATGGGAGGGTCTGGGAGGGAGGGTCTAGGAGGCTGATTGGCTGGAATGTGTCTGCTGACTGTGAGGTACAGGGTCAAAGTTTAGTCAATGATGAGTCCGTGGCGAACCGTTTGTGGCGAACCGTTCGCGAACCGTTCAGGATATCACTACAGCTGGGGGCTCTCTGGCTGCACCCTGACACAGTTTACAGTAGAAAGGTCACATCCAGGGATTCTAATATTCCGTTCCCTTATCCCTTTTACCTAATAGATAGATGAGGTCTGAAAAATAACATTAAATGTGAAAAAATCCACACTTATTGGCTCTCTGTCAATCATTGTGATAATCTCTGCGAAGGGGGAGGGAAAATGAAATCCTTATTAACATTAACACACAATAATGATAATGATGGTGAATTTTGTTGCTATGGCGCTCTGTGATCCACGTATACACACTGATTGGACAATAGGTGAGCAGACAGTTCTTAGCTATCCTAAATGTGTGTCCAATAACAGGAGAGCTGTATTGTGAATGGATGAGGACCGTTTTCAGACTGGTACGGCTGGTTAAAGACACAGTGCCATGCTCCCTCTCTGGACACGACCGTTAGAACCCATCATCGCTACTCTGCTCCTTTGGTGTGTACTTGGTGCTATTATTAATATTCTGGGATTATTCTGTATTATGTGGAAAGCATACATAGCTGTGATTTAACACAATTGTAGTTGCTAGTTGGGGCTGGGGGCCCCTCTATAGTTTCTACATAGCTGTGATTTAACACAATTGTAGTTGCTAGTTGGGGCTGGGGGCCCCTCTATAGTTTTACCCCAGAATGGAACCTTCCAAGCTAAATCGTTAGGTCCATCTGCATTCCTAATAAATGATTCAATATCGAAAACAATACAAGACGTCTCAATATCTCCTCATTAAGCAGCTGCCTCTCTACCTGTACCTGAAACAACCTTATGCATGACAAGTAACTTAACCCCAACCTGATCTAACCTTAAATTAGGTTAATAATCTGTCAACAGCCAGCCTTAAAGGACCACTCTAGGCACCCAGACCACTTCAGCTTAATGAAGTGGTCTGGGTGCCAGGTCCATCTAGGATTAACCCATTTTTTTAATAAACATAGCAGTTTCAGAGAAACTGCTATGTTTATAATAGGGTTAATCCAGCCTCTAAAGCCTCTAGTGGCTGTCTCATTGACAGCCGCTAGAGGCGTGTGGCGAAACCAACCTCGCCACTGGGCATTTTAGAAACCTGTTTGCCTGCCTCCTGCCTGCTGACTATGGCCCTGGGATGTATTGCCCTTTAAAGACATGATTTGGGCATAATGGATTTGTGTTGTGCTGCTGCTGGCCCTTTAAGAACCATCTGGGGACATACTGTGGAGTTACTGGGTGGCCACCATTTCATGTATCAGAGGCACATGGTGAGAACAATGGATGAAGCACATGGTGAGAACAATGGATGGCGGCCATTTTAAATCACAGACACGGTTTGGACTTTCTACACGGTGCCATCTCGACGGTATTTGGTGCACAAAGACATCGTTCAGTAGTTTTAAACTAAACAACAGGGGACACATTATACAGTAATTGTTTTTCATATAGCCTGTATATGTTCTGTGGAATCTGCATTAAACTGTATCTTCCAAAGTACTGAACGGATCTGGGTGAATTTTGGATATGTGATTCACCCAGATCCCCTGGTTCTGAGGATATACTTTTTATGGGGTTATTGCATGTTTTGGGGTCCCTGTGATATGTTTTATAATACTGTATTTCTCTGCCTGTGATAATTATATTAACCATTGTGTTCAGTAATCAAATCACAGGCAGAGGGGAGGATTTTGTGTGGGAGTGTCTGTGTGTATTGTACGGATTGATTGGTTGTATTTCAAAATCCTGTGGGTAGTACTATGTTTGTGGATTGTGAATAAAAGAGGCTGTATGTGCCAGTATAGTCAGTTCTGCTTGACCTCAAAACGAAGTGTCGTCTCGTTATTAGGGGAATTGGATTGTATGCTGATTGCCAGGAGTGTAAGCTGATTGTATGCTTTTCCTGTTCAGCTGCTTAGAGCATTCATATGCTTGAGAGCATTCGTATGCTTCTCCGGTTCGGTGGTTGTGGTGTCTGCTGCAGTGCTTGGAGTCCTCAGGAAGTGCAAGGAGCATCCTTCAACGGAGTTACCCAGTCGGCGTGCCAGGTGATCCGTTACAAGGCGTTTGCGTGCTTCTCACTGTGAAAATCACAGAGAGAAGACGCAAGCGTCCATAGGAAAGCATTATAAATGCTTTCCTATGAGTCAGGCTGAATAAGCGCGCGGCTCCAGCGCATGCACATTCAGCCGAAGAGGAGGAGAGGAGGCGGAGAGATGGAGGAGAGGTCCCCGCCCGGCGCTGGAAAAAAGGTAAGATTTAACCCTTTCCTCGCCATCCAGCCCGGCGGGAGGGGGTCCCTGAGGGTGGGGACACGAGTATGTTTTCCTGGCACTATAGTGGTCCTTTAACATACTGTGTTATTAATCCACTAGCTGCCCAAACTAACCACCTACTGGATAATTAATCTACTAGCTGCCCAAACTACCTTCTACTGGGTTAATAATCTACTAGCTGCCCAAACTAACCTTCTACTGGGTTATCAATCTACTAGCTGCCCAAACTAACCATCTACTGGGTTATTAATCTACTAGCTGCCCAAACTAACCTTCTACTGGGTTATTAATCTACTATCTGCCCAAACTAAACTTCTACTGGGTTATTAATCTACTATCTGCCCAAACTAGCTTTCTACTGGGTTAATAATCTACCAGCTGCCCAAACTAACCATCTACTGGGTTAATAATCTACTAGCTGCCCAAAGTAACCATCTACTGGGTTAATAATCTACCAGCTGCCCAAACTAACCATCTACTGGATAATTAATCTACTAGCTGCCCAAACTAACCATCTACTGGGTTAATAATCTACTAGCTGCCCAAACTAAACATCTTCTGGGTTAATAATCTACTAGCTGCCCAAACTAACCTTCTACTGGGTTATCAATCTACTAGCTGCCCAAACTAATTTTCTACTGGATTATTACTATACTAGCTGCCCAAACTAGCTTTCTACTGGGTTATTAATCTACTAGCTGCCCAAACTAACCACCTACTGGATTATTGATCTACTAGCTGCCCAAACTAACCTTCTACTTGGTTATTAATCTACTATTTTACCAAACTAACCATCTACTGGATTATTGATCTACTAGCTGCCCAAACGAACCTTCTACTGGATAATTAATATACTAGCTGCCCAAACTAACCATCTACTGGGTTAATAATCCACTAGCTGCCCAAACTAATTTTCTACTGGATTATTAATCTACTAGCTGCCCAAACTAGCTTTCTACTGGATTATTAATCTACTATCTGACCAAACTAACCACCTACTGGATTATTGTTCTACTAGCTGCCCAAACTAACCATCTACTGGATTATTGATCTACTAGCTGCCCAAACTAACCATCTATTGGATTATTGATCTACTAGCTGCCCAAACTAACCTACTGGGTTAATAATCTACTAGCTTCCCAAACTAACCTTCTACTGGATAATGAATCTACTAGCTGCCCAAACTAGCCTTCTACTGGGTTATTAGTCTTCCAGCTGCCCACACTAACCTTCTACTGGATTATTAATCTACTAGCTGTCCAAACTAACCTACTGGATAAATTACTAGCTGCCCAAACTAACCATCTACTGAGTTAATAATCTACTAGCTGCCCAAACTAACCATCTACTGGATTATTGATCTACTAGCTGTCCAAACTAACCTACTGGATAAACTACTAGCTGCCCAAACTAACCATCTACTGAGTTAATAATCTACTAGCTGCCCAAACTAACCTTCTACTGGGTTATTAATCTACAAGCTGCCCAAACTAACCATTTACTGGAATATTGATCTGCTAGCTGCCCAAATTTACCTTTTACTGGCTTATTAATCTACTATTTTACCAAACTAACCATCTACTGGATTATTGATCTACTAGCTGCCCAAACTAACCTTCTACTGTATAATTAATCTACTAGCTGCCCAAACTAACCATCTACTGGGTTAATAATCTACTAGCTGCCCAAACTAGCTTTATACTGGATAATTAATCTACTAGCTGCCCAAACTAACCTTCTACTTGGTAATTAATCTACTAGCTGCCCAAACTAGCTTTCTACTGGGTTAATAATCTACTAGCTGTCCAAACTAACCTTCTACTGGATAATTAATCTACTAGCTGCCCAAACTACCTTCTACTGGGTTATTAATCTACTAGCTGCCCAAACTAACCTACTGGGTTAATAATCTACTAGCTTCCCAAACTAACCTTCTACTGGGTTATCAATCTACTAGCTGCACAAACTAATTTTCTACTGGATTATTTCTATACTAGCTGCCCAAACTAGCTTTCTACTGGGTTATTAATCTACTAGCTGCCCAAACTAACCACCTACTGGATTATTGTTCTACTAGCTGCCCAAACTAACCTTCTACTGGGTTATTAATCTACTAGCTGCCCAAACTAACCTTCTACTGGATTATTGATCTACTAGCTGCCCAAACTAACCTTCTACTTGGTTATTAATCTACTATTTTACCAAACTAACCATCTACTGGATTATTGATCTACTAGCTGCCCAAACGAACCTTCTACTGGATAATTAATATACTAGCTGCCCAAACTAACCATCTACTGGGTTAATAATCTACTAGCTGTCCAAGGTAACCTTCTCCTGGATTATCAATCCACTAGCTGCCCAA